TATCATCAAATTTCAGCATTAATTTTTCATAACTGAATTAATAAAAATCAATTCAATTAAAAAAAAATTTATTTTGAAACAAAAAAACCACTAAAAAGTTTTTACCTTACTATTTGTTCTAGTAACTTTAACCTATATTCAATTACATCAGGTCTTTCATAGCCATCAACATAAACACCTTTAGTAAATCATTTAAACTCAAATCTTATTTTTTTAAGCCATTTTCTTGCAGTTTTTGTGCTAAATTCAAAAATTTAATTAAATTTTCACTTGATAAAATAAATTATTTAATTCAAATCTTATTGTTATTTTCTGTTCAATTTCAAGTGACGGAAAAATAATATTCTTTATATAATCAATGAAATTAGCCACATAAAATTCAAATTTGTTTTCACGTAAATATGTTGCTATCTGAATTTAAATATCTTCGTCATTAAGTAAACTTTGAATTTTGCAATATTTTCCCTATTTAGAAATTGAAATGGTCTCACTATTCCTTACTAATTTTTTCTATGTTCTAAGATAACGTGCAAAATATGGTCCTTTATTTAATTGTTGTACAATACAGAAGCTTGCTTTAATTTTGGCTCTTTATAGTTAATAAGCCTTAGATACTGCAACAAAGCAGTTAATCTTAGCTTATAACCACCATCAAAATTGCTTTGCTTTAATTCCTTTTCAACGGATTTAATTAATTATTCATATTCACAATGATCTTCATATTCAGATTTCTGATTATTGGATTAGTTTGATTCCTAATCAGATTTATCGGGATCATTAGATGCATGAGGTTGAAGTTGAGATGGGTTAAAGAAATTCGTTATTGGTTGACCATTTTTAGCCAAAAGTTTTTTAGCTTATGCTCTTTTTCTTTTTTTTGTTCAAATGGAATTTCTAATATAAACAGCTTTTCAGAAAGAAGGCACGTAGTTTTTCATTCCATTTAATAAAATTTTAACAAAAGTTTTAGCCTTTTCATCCAACTCATCATCTCCCCATATGACTTCTTCCTCATTTTCCTACTTCAAATTATCATCAATATCTGAATTTTCTAAAGGTACAGTAAAGTTTTAATTTTTTTTTCGTTTATCTTTAGCTAAACTTTTTATTTATTTTTTGTATTTTGAAAGTAGTGGCATAATAAAATTCCAAAAAAAAATTAAGTTCAGAAAAATGATTTTTCAGCTTATTTAAGCAATAGATGTGAAAATATTATTGGTGTTAAATTTTAAAAATCTACTATATACAATTAAGGAAATTTTTCATCCGGAGATTTGATAATAGCTTTTTAAGAAGTGATCGTATTTAAAAAATCTTATCATAATTCGAAAGCTAGAGATAAAACGCATTAAAGTACGATGGTACTTTAGAAATGACTTTATTTTTTAAAGAGTAGATACATTTTAAAAAGTGGATACCAAATTTGCCGTGACTAAGGGTCTCGAGCTGTATAATTTTAAATATTATAAAAATTAGTATAATATATCTTATAAAATAATTTTAATAATAAAATTTATATATTTTATAATAGCAAAAATTTAATTTATAAAATAATAATTTAATAGTAAAATTTTAAATAATAAAATTTTAGTATTATCTTATTAATTAATTCAATTTTATATTTAAAATTAAAATAATTTATTATTAATTAAAAATGTTTACTATGATATAATATTTTAATTATCATTTACTTAAATCAAATTACTTATTCCATAAAGTGATTTTAATAATTTAACTTTTATTTATTAGTTAATGTTTTAAATTTACAAATTTTTTTAAAAATCCAATATTTAAATTTTATAATAATTTAAATAATAAAAGATATTAATTAGTTACATTTAATATTTTATATGAATTTGAATTAATCTAAATTTAATCTAAATTTGACAGATTAGATTTAAAGTAAATCTATTGAATTTAGATCAAATTCAGATTCAAATTCAGATCTGATAAGATCTGTTAATTTAAATTTAGATTTAGATTTGATCTATTAGATTTGAATTCAAATTTAATCTCTTAAAGCTGAAAAGATTTTTTTCATTAAAAAGAAATAGTTTTTTAAATACTTTTAAAGCTAAAAAGATTCTTTTTATTAATAAGAAATATTTTTAGATTTCTTTTAGAATTGAAAATTCATTTTTAATAAAATTTGTCAGATTTGAATTAGTTTGAATTAAATTTAAACTGATTTATCAAATTTAGATTTAAGATTCAATTTGTCAGATTCAGATTAGATCTGAATTTTAACAGATTTATCAAATTTAGATAAGATTTAGATACTAAAAAATTAAAATTGAATCAGATCTGATTTGAATAAAATCTAATCTAATCTAATTTTTACAGAATATTAGTTACTTATATAATATTAGGATTAAAAGATTACAAATCATATTAAATCAAAAATTTTTTTAATAAAAGTTATATAACTATTAGAAAAAAAGTAAAAAAATATTATATATTTTACAGTTACTAATATTATTAAGATAAAAAAAGAAAAAAAAATAAGAGAAAGAAAATAAAAAAAGAGAAAGAGAAAAAAGAAAATTATATTATCTGTTAATGGAATATTAGCTGATAAAGAATTTATTTAATATTAGTTTATTGATATTTCAGAAAATTTTATTTATTTTTTATATATATATATATATTTATTAATAATAAAAAATTTTTATTAATAAATATTAAAAATTTACATGATTAATATAATATATATATCAATTTGATTTAATATTAATAAATATTTTTAAGTAATCAAATATTGAATAATTGTTATATAAGATATTTTAATTATCTTATAGAAATCAAATTATATTTTTTATACAAAAAAGAGATAAATCAATTAATTATCTTTATCTATAATTAATAAATAATTTTTTTTAAAAAGATAATTAATTTATAAAAAAAATAAATTAATTAATATAGATATCAAAAATAATTTATATAAAATTTTTAGTATTATGAGATAATACATATGTGAAAATCTTTCTAATAATTTATTAAGTTATATGAATAAAAAATATACCAATATTTAAATATTCATTATTATAAGATCAAAACTATCATACATAAATTTATCATAATTAAAACTTCTAAAATAAAAATAGTTAAAACTTCAAAATTAACTTTTAAAATATTTAAAAAAAGATCTAATATAAATCTAATAGCATTAATCAAGTAAATAATTTAAAAGAATTATACATATAAGAATAATTTATTTATATTGTTAAAAATACATTTTTCTTTCTTCTTTATTTGGATCTCGAAAAAAGCTCATTTTTAAGATTGTTTTTTAAAAATTTTATTATAAAAATAAGAAATATAATTATAGAAATTGATAATATATGTATGATCTATGAAATTATAGAATTAATTTAATATGAAAATGATCTTTATATAATATATCTGATGTAAAGATAATTCTTATAATTATTTTTAAATTTCAATTAAGTTGCAACTTAATTGTATTATAAGAAAATTTAATTGCGTTACAAGTTGTAATTTCAATTGTTTTATTTTTTAATTGCAGTATCCATCTTTAATCTGATGACTATTATATTATTATTATATATATAATAAATTTTAAAAATGTTATTAATGTTAAAAATACTTAAATTTTATCAATATTTATAATAGTACTAAATTACAAATTTATTTTTTTTATTTCATATCTTTAGAGTATAATTTAGAATCTTTAATCATTCTTAGTGATCTAAGTAAATTATTTAGAAAATATTTATTAAGATTAAATTACTATTATGAAGTAATTAATCTTTTTTCTAATAATATTGATTTATAATGTTTATACTATAACTTAATGAAAAATTACTACATATCACTGGTGTTTAGCATCATCCTGTGTCATACCTTTCACATTTCATTTTTACTATATATTCTGAAGACAGAAATTTTTTTGAATATAAAATCATATTCATTACATGATATTTATTACAACTATAATTTCGGCCAAAATTTATAAGGTACTGTAGTAAATTATATCCTTATTATTCTTATTATCTAAGATTATTCATCGGGTTTATTTTAACAATGTAATTAATAATTAATAATCGATTAAACTGATAATAATGATAATCATAAAAAATAAATATAAACGTAGCGAAGCATTATGAAAATTTCGGCACGTGATCTCTCACGTGATTATAGACCAATGAAGTTTCTTTACAATATAGATGTAGATCATTAATAAAGTGATAGTATTTGTATCACAAGATATATTTCTCGTCAAAGCATAGAACGCATAATAAAAGTATGATGATACTCAAAAAGGTGAGTTTATTGTTCTTTATAATAGCATTATTAAAAATGCATATATTGTAGAAAATTTAAATCTCCAGATCGTCGAAATTTGGTTTGTTTTTGTTTAAAAAAGCGATCAGACTAAAGATGTAATTGTACTTGGATCTTTTATTATCTGATAAATTTCTTTGATGAGTAGGCCGCATTAGGCTTTAGAGCTTATGAATCGGGAGATTTACTTGATAAAGTTATTTCTAGAATGAATCATAAGGTTAGCAATAAATTTTTTTGTACAACTTTTTTCTAACTATACATTTTATAACTAGGAAAAGCAAAAGGAGTCATGATCTTAATATCCTAACATTAACGATCCTAATAATCCAATTTCATCCAAATCTAATCCTAAATGACAAACATTTATGTTGTATAATTATTTGAAGTGTCTATGAAACAATGATCTTAAGTTTTAAAATCAGATGATGATCGTTTTCAAAAAAGATGTGGATGATGACTACAGGATTATTTAATCCCGGCGAAGATAATGTAATAGTATTCGCATCATGTGATTGTATATGTATTTTTTATGTTTCGGCAATAACTTTATTGCACCATACCATATGATATACATGTAAACAATTTAATAAAATCGCGAAATATCATCGTGTAAAAGTAAACAGAAAATAAAATAAAAAGTAATAAATTCTTAACTAGTAAATAGCCAAGTCAAATAGTGGGGAGACAACTTTCTACGATCCATTATAACGTTTCACAAAATGTATAACACTATCCGTCTCGATTTTGTAATGTGAAATGGTTAAATGGTCTTCTAATTGTTTACCCCGGAAAATTAACCGCTGATGTTCAGGAGCCGTGCCTGGAGAAATGTTTATTATTAAATGCATGATCTCTTTTCTTTTTCATAAAATAAAAATATCCTACCATCTTTTTGTTCGAACTTGTACTTGATGATTTTGATTGTATCGCTTTTTTCAACAAAGATCTTGATTCTTCTATCTTCCAAGTTTAATATTGTGATGTAAAAAGCATTAGGATCGGAACGATTCCTATCAGAATTAGGGGTCATTCGCGATAAATAGTTACTGGCCCTATTGAGTATCGTTTGTGGTAAATTTGTTCTGATAATATTGAAGTCATCTTCGAACATGGAATCATCGCTGAGCTTAATGTTGATCAATTGAGATGCAAAGGTGTTTTCAACGAAGCTAGTTTCTTGTTGGCAGATTGAACAAACTCTTGTGTTTGTCAAACTTTGGAAACACTCTAAACAGAAAAGTTTGTTACAACATTTTGTTTCTTGAGGATTAGGCTTTAACTCCCTACACACGACGCATTGTAGATATTCAAGCAAATCCATCTTTAACGCTTCTCGGAAATAAAATTACTCGTGGAATTGCGAGTTATTGCATCACTAGATCTTTTTTGACGTCTCATTCCAAAAAACGCGGGCTAACCATTATTATCAAAATCGTGATCGTCAACAACTTGTTTTAATCACATGCCTCAAAGTTTGGCGCAGTATCATACCGTTTTTTTTTACCTCCTGATGCATTCAATTTCCTCTTTACGTCACTAATAAATATCATTAAATCCAGTAAAGGATAACACATTATAATAAGTTTCTTTTTATTTTGTTGATTTGTTCTTTTGGGGATTTGTACTAGCAACAAACTCATCAAAAAATCCCTGTAATTTGGTTCTTCCCTTTCTAACATTTTTTTAAATTCATCTGGATCAGATGATTCCATTCACTATTAATTTATTATAGTGATGTCGTCAAACTCTTTCCCAACAAAATTCATATTAAGGTTCGTTTCAGGAATTTTGATATTATTCGTTACAAGGGCTGTGCCGTTATTAAGGTCATCACATGTACCACCATCTCGTAATGAGCATTTATTAGATTTAGACATTCCTATATACTGTATTACAAAGCATTTAATTAATATGCAATGTAAAAATACGATATATTTATTGTATGTTGTCAAATGTCTCCTGTCTAAATATATTTTGGTTTTGAATCCCTGAATTTCTATTTTTTATTCTCGCAATCATTGAAATTTTAAATGATCAGATCAAAACTAAAAGCAAAAGAAATTTAGTGTGAAGAAAAAGTATATAAACGCTTAATTTTTACCTTCAAGCTCTTCACTTTTTTCAATGGATAAAAAAAAAAGGATCTTGAAGAAATAATTTCCTTTTTAAAAAAATTCTTTTCGTACTAGCACTTTAAACCTCCCTTTTGATTACTTTGAAGAAATCAACAAAAATGAAATTTTCAGCCATCATTCTCTTGATGGTTGCTCTTTTGGCTCCAATTGTATTCTCTGTTCCAACCGAATACAAAAAAGAATACGAAAATAATTTTTACAAAATTTGTCAAAAATTGAATTTAAGAAACCCGTCGATGGCATCATTTATAAGATCAATAGCACTCAAGTTGCAGATGTTGCTTTCCCCAAAGATTGTATTGAAAAATTCGGTAGACATTAAAATTTTTTTTAAGCTTTCTTAATACTTGCCAAACGCTTGAAGAGAAACGTGGCTTTTTAAGGAAGATTTTCTTGAAAACCAGTATGTTCTAAGAAGATAACGTGAACAACTTTTTGAATATTCAGTGCGCATTAACTAACTTTGCCTTTTTTGGTCTCCTAACCAAATTTAGATGAACATCAAAATAAGCCTTTGCGTCGTAATGATTGGTCAACAACGAACGTGACGCGTTAACCTTTATTTATATAAATATCATTTTGAATATAACCTGTACCTTATTTTTATACAGGCGATGAAGGCGCGAACATATTTTGGAATGCCCTAAAGGACAAAAATGTTGAACGCGGAGAATTCCTCCAACTGCCTGAGGGCATCCATTTTTTAGGAGATAAAGATGAAGTTTCAATTCTGTATATCCGTAAATGATACCGCGATTCGGTAAAGATTGCATTTGATAAACGAAAAAAAGACTACGTATCAGCGGTAATCCGGATGTCAGAAAGACTTTATTCGGCTATTATCTAATTTCACAAAATATTATTGTAACTATATACAATCACCATGCTTTGAAAAGTGTAATTATCTTTGATAAGAATAATGTCTTTTGTACTTCCAGCATAGTTATTGAATTAATCAGAAAAACTCAGATGCATGGCATATTGTTGATGGCAAGAAACCGGTTAAAGCTAATGACATAACTATTCTTTTATGTTCGCCTAGAAAGGATATCTATAGAGAATTTGACAAGTTTAGGTTTTTAACAATACGGATCATGCCAGTTTGGAAACGAAAAGAGATTGATGACTGCAGGGATAAAATTTTCATTTATGTTGAAAAAGAAAAGAAGAAAAGGTTGAAGAATTGTTTTTGGAGTTCCTCGGTTCGTTTTAGAACAGGCTGATGAAGAAGATCATCAAAAACAGCTTGATAAAGCGATTAAAAAATGTAACATGGATATATTTAATTATATTGGTGACTCTACAGGTACAGATGTTAGCCACAAGCTCGTACACATCTATATAAATTTCCCATTCACTTATGAAGAGGTTGTAAAGGACGAAAATGAAATGGATTTAGATCTAGTTCAAGTGATATTCATGCTGGATCGAGACGGTGAAGAAACCTATACAAAAAAAATATAAGATTTGCCTCCGACTATGTTAATAAAGAAGTGACTGAGAAGCTCGAAGAAAATATAAGGAACAAATTTGCGTACTGAAACATTTTTAAGCTTAAAGTCAGGAATTAGTAATTCGTTATTGGGCATATCATTTGAACAGATTGCTCATCAGGTGCTACGAGATGGAGGAATTTTCAAGACTCATTCTTTAGGATTCAATGATATAGAGGAAACCTCACTATTAACAGGCAGAATGACCTTTTTAAAAGTAATATCAGTGTAATCTAAAATGGAAATACTATCAACCAGTGGATAAAAATTTTCCCCCAAATAAACTTTTTCAGATGATAATCGCCAATAACCACCCTATTAAAATGAGCGGTTAGCATTAGATGATATTGATGATATCAAATTTTATTTTGTCATACCACTTTTGCCCAGAATATACATCCCACTTTGGATGTTAATCAATATTCTTTAAAAATCGATTTATAGCTCTATCGACGGATTAATAATGGTACACCTCTTTCTATGAGAATATTAATATAACAGAAAAATATAATATGGGCGCTTTGCAGTAGAAAGGGAGGAAACTCGCAAAAAAATTTTTTTTACTTTATAAGCTAAATATTATTTTATTCAGTAAAATAAATCCAGATTTAACATTAACTCAAAAAAAAAAAAAATTTTTTTTGGTAGTTTCCTCCATTTCTACTGCAAAGCGCTCATATGGTTTGTGAAATATGTTGGGTAAGCGTATTAAAATAATTAATTGACTTGTTTATGGGTATTTTGCTCACGGGGCTTTATTTTTTTAACATGTGTGCAGTGTGACCTAATAGCCCATTATCACGTCCAAGATAAATCCGGAATTTTCATCACCGTGGATGACAAGGAAAAAAGTATCATTATTAAATTGATTAGTTAGTCGTATCCATTATAAAATAATAGATTCGTTCTTTTATCGATATATTTTTTTTCTGTAATTTCCATTTCAAAATTTGATTTTCTTCCTTTGCTTTTATAATCTAACCCATATCTTGAAAAGATCGCAACAATTTTCCAATTCATTTGAAAAAAAGTATATTCATTGGATAAAGTTATAACAGCCAAAATGTGTTAAAAAAAACATCACGAGTCATAACAGATAGCAAATCATTCTGCCTCTATCAAATTTTATTTTTTTAAACGTGTTGAAAACTTTTATTTTCGGCAGTAAATTTTGCCAATGTCCGAAATTTGTTAGAACGAAAGCTCGGTGATTTTGATTTTTTGATTGGTCTTTAGGTTTAACTATAATATTGATGATAAATAATTGTATCTGACCGTAATTCGTATTCCTATTAAATGAACGTACAATTTTAGATTGATGAATAGTTTTTTTTTTTTGCGTCAGATTAACGAAATCGGATAATTTAGCAACTTCTTTTATGATAATTTAAATTTTTTCAACAAATAAATAAAACAATTAATTAAAAGAGAAAAATCTTTTTCCATTTTAGAGTACGACATAAAACTTCTGCCCCTTGAATTTAATTTCAAAAATGTTTGAAGTGTTGTGAGGGTTAATATAAATAATCGTACCGTACCAGTATTACATAATGGTAAGTCCCAAATAGTGTTAAATGGTGTCATATCTAAGTCAGTTTCCCTATTTTTAGAAAGTAAATAAATGATGATCACTACCTTGTGGTAAATTTGACAAATTCGTGATCAAAATAAAATTTCACCGATAATCAAAAAGTTATAAACGAAAACAACAATTTAACAGATGAAGTATTTAATGAATTCTTTTTTTAGAATGAATTAATATAATTCCGGAATGAAAAAAAAAGCAAAGTATTTTGAAGAGAAAAGGTATATAAACGCTATATTTTCACTTTCAATCCGTTCTTCACTTTTAATAAAGAACAATAAAAAAAATCCTGTTAAAGGATTCATCAAAAAAAAAAAAAAAAAAAAAAAATTCTTTCACATAACCTTCCTTACCTTGATGAGCAAAATGAAATTTTCAGCCACCATTCTTTTGATTGTTGCCCTTTTGGCTTCAATTGGTTTCTCCACTCCATCTGAATACAAAAAAGATGAATTTTACAAGTATTGTCAAAATATTGAATTTAAGAAACCTGTTGATGGTATCATGTATATGATTAATAGCACTCAAGTTGCGGATTTTGTCGTCCCCAAGGATTGTATGAAAAAATATGGTAATGTTTAAAATCAAAGTCTCATTATTTTTATTTTAAAACTTGTTTTTTTTTTTAAAAAATGTTCTTTTATTTTAATGCGTTTCTTTTTATCGAAAATCAATTTTTAGGTTATTATTTGATGACCACCGTCGAAATTTTCAGTATCGGCGCCAACAAAATAATTGATACCATCGTTGAACAGGAATATGTAAGTAATTGGTTATTGTTATTATTTCTTTAGAATTTCGATAAAATCATTAACTTTAATTTATAAATTATCAAATTTTATCCTAGATATACAATCATCCGACTGTCTTTCTTTACTTGATTGATAAAGTGTGAGCCAATAATGACGCCAAATATTATCTTATCGCCTCTCTTCATTATAAGTATTATCATGTCCAAAGTGAATCTGGAATGTTCATCGCCAAGGATGAAAAGTAATTAGTATTAGTCGTACTTATTTTATAGAATAGCTTTTTAATATTAGCTTAACTTCATTAATATATTATTATCAATTTACATGATTTATCACCAACTTTATTTATTCATAGACGAGTTATTTTATTTTATTTTTATCACGTTGACCTTGATAAAATTTCTTATTTAGATCAAATAAAACTATCCAATTATTACAATAATGAAATATCATTTATCATTTTAATAAATATCAATTTACATTCTATATTACCTTTTAATCTTGATTATAAATTTCTTGAATGTCAAAGGTATACATTACTCTGAGTGGCGAAGTCCAATAAGCTGTTCTAAAAATTTAAGCATAATTTACTTGGTGTAAATTGTCTTATTTAGACTAAATTCGATAAATCCGTTTTAACTTCAAAATTCTTGATATTCAGAGATAGACATTGTTTTTAAATGCACCTTGCCGGCTAATAAATTTTCCTTATTTTTTTAATAATCATCGATTGTTTTTACTGGACGGTGGATTATGAACCTCTATCCAATAATCTAGTCACATGTGTAGTGGATTTGCTTGGGAGGATAGACACTTGTTAGACTGGTATTTGAAATAGAGCTACGTGGATCTTTAGATATGGTATGGTGAAGTCTTGTAAGTCGGATAACGCTTATCAGAACCAAAAAAAAATTTTTTTAGATAAGTATTTAGCTAATTAATTTAGTAATTTATTTTTATATATATATTTCTTTTGGGTCTAAAATAGTAAAAAGAAAATTTTTAATGCAAATTAATTTTATTGAAATCATCAAATAATCGGACTAATTTACACATCTGTTACACCAGTTTAATGTAGGTTAAAGGAGTTTGATCTGCTAAGATTACGAACGCATCCATCTTTTCATTTTCTCAATTTTCTCTTTCTTTCTTTCTTTCTTTCTTTATTCTTTCTTTTTTTCTTTCTTCTCTTTCTTTCTTTCTTTTATTTTTTTTCCTGCGATAATAAAAGCTATAAATGTATTAACACGGATCAATTTTTTTTTTTTATTAAAAATAAATAAATAAATAAAAATAAATAAATAAATACGTATAACCTCAATATTTCGAAAACCAATCACTCTAACCGATCATAACTGATTAAATCGATGCGCAGCAATTTTGATTGGCCATTTCACGATCGATCAAGTACAAAATATGCACGATATTTAAAAGATAATAAAACTTCAAAATTTTGTGCTCATTGAAATTAGATTTTTAAACAACGCACAACAAATTAACAAATTTTTGAGCATAAATCCTGACAAACATCCAACTATTGATTCGTCCAACGTTAAAAAACAAATCAATCAGATTTGGCAGCATAATCCCAAAGACATTATATCGTTCCAAGAACTTTTTAATTTGTTTGAAATCATAACAAAAACAAAACAAAAAAAAAAAAAAGAGAGAATGCAAGGTTGATTTTAATACTTTTTCAAATTAAAAAAAATATATTTATCAAAACAAAATGACAAATGAAAAATAAACAACCGGGTGTGACACGTGATCTTGCGACGGAATTTCCGACATATAGACTTGGGTAAAAACCTAAATATGTGAACCAATCAGATTTTCAACTGTGTTGTAAGCCATATTTAGGAGTTCATAATGTTTCAGAAAAGTCACCGAATTGAAAAGTTAATAATAGAAAAATGTGCTATTAATATTCGATAAGTTAATGAATTATATTATTAAAGAATATATGGTTAGACCCACCAATGTCCTTAAAATTTACAAGAGCCGTTCAACATTTACCCAAAATTTACCGAAAAAGGAATAAGATATTTTAATCTCAAACGTTCCCTCAAATGATATATAGATAGATATGTCAATGAAATTCATTTGCTAAGCAACTTTTTGAAACCAAATATGTAATAGGGTTAATCTGTTTGCTATTGACTCAGGTCTCACAAGCTTATACCACTAAAATTCCAACGTACATTGTTCACATGACTAGTTTGATAACAATCATTGGGGCCATAAACTAAATAGGAACAGTGGCTTGATTATATCGATAATATTAAAGGAAAGTAAAAATAAATCTTTGGTGATTGGTAACGAATCGGAATATTTGATCCGATAATCAATCACCCTTTAAAACCAATCGTTTTTCAATTGCTGGCCATGAAGAATACAAATATTCTTGAAGATTAATGGATGAAATACAAGCTTACGTACTTGCAATTCCAGAATGCATTAATTGATAGATTCTATTCATTTTTCTTAACGGAGCCTAAAGAGTCGAAAACTTTTTTTTTTTTTTTCAAGCAACGGTTGTAACCAAATGCGATAAAGACCTCATCGATTACAAGAAAAGATTATCTAGACATGCATCTGTTTTTTTTTTGTAGGTTATAATCACTTTCTTCATCGAGTGTATATCCGTTTAAATTCAATTTCATATCGATTGAACGAGTTAGAACGATTTCATAATTGCATGCTATGATTAAAATTAAGAAATTACATTGTAAACTTTAAATTAATTGTTTCATGATTGTTACCTTTTTTTTTTTTCCTATCCCAAATATCAACATTTATTCTAATAGGTGCACAACGATGAATGGTTCTTTGTTTCAAAAAAAAAAAATTTAAAATTTCTTTTTTATATCAAAAATTCAAGGTAAAATGGTTTTGTGGGAACCGTTAGTGCGGTCGCACAAATGCTATGCGATTTACAATTTCAATTTATGAGCGCAGCAAAAACCTTATTATTTTTTTCCGAAAATTCCATAAGGTCAATTAAAAAGACTTCGATGGAAATTGTAAGATTAATTGGATCTACGAGGTACCCTTCTAGATTCTCACATGGAATTTAGAAATTCTGGAGCCCTTTCCATAATTTAATGGAAATAAGTTTCACCTCTTACATATTTTGCATAAATTGTTTCAAGTGCGTTTCAGCTAATCACTTACCTAATTATCACAAACTAAAAGTGTAAAATAAATGCTATCACTCATTAATATTTAAAAACGATTGGGGAATTTCCTTTGAAATGTGTTCCACAAGAAAGATCGGACCGAAAAAATTTCGATTATATTCGTGTGCGACTTGAGGTAACGTGGAATGCAGCAAAAATTTTCTTGCATTGATGTTTAAGGGGCATTAATTCTTTTTATAGTAAATTAATTTAAGAAAATTTTTGGTTGCATACCAATCGATACAATACGAAACATTGGATTGACAACAACTTTATGAAGAATCAAATTGATGTTTAAAATTAAAAATAGATCAGAGGGGTATGAAGGGAAAAAAAAAAAAAAGATATTTAAGCAACGCTAAAATTTCATCTTCAGGTTCTTCACTTCTTTCAAAGAATAAAAAAAAATTAGTAACAAAAAAAGAAAATTAAATCTCTTCAAAAAGATTTTTTTTTTACGAACTTTTTTTTACCTTTTAACTTAACTCACTTTACACTTTTACTCTCAACGAACATGAAATTCTCAACTGTTGCCTTCTTAATTGTTGCCCTTTTGGCCTCAATCGCTTACTCTGCTCCAATGCAAAGATCTTATTACGATGATTTTTATGAAACCTGTAAAGAATCTTCTTTTAAAAGACCCGTTGACGGAATTATTTATAATATTAATAGCACTCAAGTAGCAGATTTCGTAATGGCAAAAGGATGTGTCGCTAAATACGGTAAATATAAAAAATTCTTTCATGATGTAAATAAATCATTTGGATTCTTTTTTTAAAGATCATCATATTTATTAATTCATAATCCCTTGTATTTTAAACAATACAGCGAAAGGTTCCGCATTAACTGTCGATATTTTCAGCATTGGAGTCGGAAAGTGTGTTGATACCATCGCTGAACAGGAAATGGTAAGTAATCGATCATATCTTTCCGTTATAATTCGTCACATCTGAATCAAAAACTAATCGAAATTGTTTTGAATCTGATTAGTTCGATCATGAACCTACCGTCTATAATTACTTGATCGATAAAGTATGGGCCAACAATGACGCTAAATACTTCCTTATTGGAACTCTTTATCACAAACATTATTCAATCGAGTTCAAGTCTGGAGTTTTCACCGCAATAGATCCCAAGGAAAAGAGTGAATATTATTAAGTCACGTTTATTAAATGTTTAATAGTAATTAATGCATGTTTAGAAAATATTTAAAAATATTTGTAAAAAAAAAAAAAAAAAAAAATTATTTTCATAAATCAAATCATAACTTTAAAAATCCACTCATTTTTATATTATATATATATTACTTACATTAGTTTAAGAGTATTTTGATAATACTAATAAATTAGAAGACATGTGTACATTTTTGAAGTTTGTTCATTTATTATAAAGCTTTTATCAATAAAATTTTCAAATATAGTAATATTTGAAAAAAAAAAAAAAAACTAAAACCCCGGTTATAAAATGTACAAAGATGTGTCATGTAAATTTACCGAAGTACGAAACAATAAAATAAATATTGTATAAAGTGTAAAAACACTAATATTGCATATTTATTTGGTAATAATGAATGTTTGTTAACATTCTGCAAAGCGACAATATGTGTTACAATTAAATTGTTTCCTACATACACTATATATACTAAGTTCAAGTTTATCCACCCAATAAAAAGAAAAGAGAGACTATATTCTATGTTTTAGAATTATCGTATAAATTAACCGGCATTTATACATTGTATTAAGTTAAAAATCATTAAAATGTTCGTATTAAAGGATTCATATGATGATGTGTGTGATCTATCAATTCTTTGTTTGTTAAAAGTGGAAGAAGGTTTGTCAGAAGGGAAATGTAATGATCGAAACGTTTTTCTTCATTTAAAAAGAGATCGACCATCGTTATAGATCGAAGCATTAGATTCCTTTTCTCCATTTTCATCATTTAAAAGAAAGGTAACAGGGATTCGACCATCATTTTTGATCGAAGCACTAGATTTCTTTTCTCCATTTGCTTCATTTTCATCATTTAAAAGAAAGGTAACAGTTAGCTTAGAATTCTTCTTTTTCTGACGTCTTTGATTTGCATTCCAATAATTTTTGATCTTATGGTTGGAATGACGCCTATTAAAAATTTTTTCCATGTCTGAACTTAAACCTTTCCAACAAATTTTATTCGATTTTCGGTAATTTGGAGTCCGTTCAATAATATATCTTTTTTCATCCTCCGTAAAAGCTTCCTTACATACTATTCGAATAAATAAAAATATTAAATGGTGCTATTATTTTTAAAAAATAAAAAGAGAAAAAAAGGTAAGATACACTCACTATTAGGATCGAGATGGTCTCTCCAACTAAATCAATTTATAAAAAAATAAATTATTATTATTATTTTTTTTTATGTAACAAAAAAAAAATCAATTAAAATTAAGCTTACCGATTAGATAATTGTTTTGGTGTGTATTTCGGCATGAATTCACTAATCTTTACAAATCGATCTGGACGTTTCTCAAAATGAAACATTAAATTCTTGATGGTCTCATCATCCTACAAAACGAAATCAGTACGGTTTAATAAAGTAGTTTTAAAAAGTAGTAATAATGGCTGATGATTTATTAACCCACTTTTTCGTCAAACCCCGTCATTTCGCAATTAATAAATTATAACCAGAGAAAAGAATGTACTGAAAAATAATAATAGTAGGGAATTAAAGGAATTTAATTAAATTTTTTTTTTTATATGATTTTATGATTTTGAAGAAGTAAACATAAAGGACATCAGAAGAAAGTCACAGACTGTAAAGCTTTCTTGGCGAACGAACATGACACTATTTATTAACAATTTTTTTTTTTATGATTCGTAAATAGGCACGTGTTCTAAAATGTTAATTTGTTTACGATCTCTTGGACCAATAATTTGAAAATCTCGTTTGCAAATCTCTTTAATCCATTTCCTTTTTGAAATCTTCATTTTTCGAAATCTCTCCAAACGTGTACATAAATTCATAATATACTATAATAAAATAATTGGTGCATCTAAAATATTTCAAATCATAATTGCTCAATTAATCGCATTTGACCTTTTAAAAAAAAAAAAAAAAAAAAAAAATCCTTTGGGGCAGATTATTTAATTACGAAAAACAAATGGACGCTCAAACCACAATTTCGATCCAATTTCGGAACCAACTAATATCAATACATTGTACAAAAAAAAAAAAAGGGCGGAATTTAATAGAATTAGATGTTCAAATGTGGCAAAGAAATCACACAAACATTGACAATGCCCTTTCTTGATGGGCAGGTGGCCGCGGCAATAATAATTTGACCCAATGGCAAATATTGTCCGAGTGTAACAAACTATAAAATCATATGATTTTTTTTTCACTAAAAATTTTTTTTTTCGCAATCATTACGATCCTCTTTTGGATGCATTTAATATTTTCTAATCCTTAATTTTAATTTAATTGAAACAAATATGTGTGATTCGAAAATCGTTTCCGAATATGACTCATCTCTTTATATTGATATGAATACAATCTCGTTTACATTAAATTTACCATTTATGAATATCCCCTATAACAGAGCCAAGTCCATCTCGTAAACAAATAACAAACAATCCGATAAATAATTATTTACGTGAGAAAAAAAAAGGATGCTTTTTTTTTTTATACATCGATCTTTAATTCCATAAACCGTTCCATTGTAAAGATGTAAATTCTAATAATAGTTTAGCGATTTATTTATCTATTTAATTGTTGCTCAGGTGATAGTTCTATGAGCACTTATTGAACCAAATGCTATAAAACTTTTCACACATTTTTTAATATAACCTAACTTTATTAGTTTATGATTTAGCAAGATGGCATTTATATTGTTTTAAGTGGCAAACAAAGTTGCTTGCCTAAGCCTCAAAATTCCGAGCATTCATTATTCCCTATTTTTAACATTGAGGATTTAACATCGATTACATTATTTTTGTCATCACTTTTTTTTTTTTTTTTTTAAAAAAAAACAAATATTCACTTTAAACCATCTACATGAGCTCGAACGTTTGTAATTACTGATAAAAAATTTTGTTTTATTTATTTGATGAAAAATAGATTTTAACATTGTACCTTTCTAATTCTTTACTAATTACCAACGTTATTTTGACTTCGCAATAATTTATCTAACATTTAAAATTGTATCTCGCATTACTCTTTAATTAACGTATTTTAATTAGTTGATTGCGTTCCACAACTGAAAAAGAAAAGTTTTTCTATTCGCGATGGACGTTAGTGTACCGGTAAAAATCCTTGGAAGGTCTGAAAAATAAATTTTAAGAATTCCTGGTATGCAATACCTTGAGCAACCACACGCAAAATTTGCAAAATACTTTAAACATTGAATCTAAACATCGAGATGATATTGTGTAAAGTTTTTTTATATTGTTGATTATAGATAATATTAATATTTTGTTTTGTTTCAAGATCTATTAATTATTTGCTTGGCAAGGAATAAATAAGATTTTCCAATCGTGCGACGCTATACAACATTATTGCAAACATCTGATTAAACATCATGTTGGAATAGGTTCTAACCCATTTAATTATAAAAACAAATAGATGCATAATCCCGATTTACCTTAAATTCTTTACCACCTTTTTGTTAAATCAAGAATTACAATGTAAAGAAATTTTTTATAATTCTAGAGGCCTGATGTCGATTTTCAGAGTTAGAGATAGAAATGATAATTCGCGTTTTGATATTTCCAAATAATTATTAATTCTTTTTTTAATAAATAAAAAAAAAAAAAGATTACGTTTATCGATGTTCCATGAGAAGTACATAATATAAGTTGTGTTCCCAGGATGGAAATAGTTACAAAGATGGAAATTATAACAAAGAAGAAACATCGATATGTTAGGTCATTAGGTGGTACATAACAAATAAAGATATCGATTACGAAATTTTTTTTTTTTATCGATTTATTTCGTTTTTTTCTCGTTTTCGTTTCATTTTCATTTTTCATTTTCATTTTCGTTTTCGTTTTCGTTTTCGTTTTCCGTTTGTTTCTTTTTTTTTAAGTGTTGATCTTAACACCTTAAATAATAAATCGTTTATATTATTTTGTTCCAATGTATTTCTAGATGTGAAAAGTGTTGATTTATTTATTTACTTATTATGCAGCAGTTTGGGAAATGGATGCTTGGTAAAAGGATGAAACAAAATGAACTCCATATGTTATCACTGTATCTTCTTTTTTTAAGCTTATCAGAACAACATTAAGTGAATCTGCGTTTTGTAGATGACGTCCTTGATTTTATATACATGAAAATATTTTATATTTACCAAAAAAATAACATGATAATTAACAAAGGATCAAAGAAAGTAACATGCAAAAGGATAAACTTAATACATGGAGTATCATATAAACAGGGTACAATTTGTTACACTACATTCGATATTCCAAGCAATAATCATAATTTTGTGAGACCCACGCGTCATTTCCTTAATTGTAAGCAACATAAAAGCTTAAAAGTCGAACCTTTTCAGTATAATAATAGTATTTTACTTCTACCCATACTCTAAAAAAAATACCTCATGACAATTTTTTGTCACACCGTTTTAAAACTTCTCCAGGCTCCTTGCTTCCTACGCTTTGAAAATCTTTACAAAAAAGGAATTGATTAAAAATTTTCTAGATCATAATAACCGAGAATTAGATCTATAAAATCTGCTAGAGGTATTTTTAATTTTTAAAAAAAAAAAATTAAAAAAGCAACGTTTTTGTGCTTGATCTTTTGAATTTATTCATTTCTGAATTTATTCATTCTATCATTTTATCATTATGAGTTCATTCAATAACGAAGTAAATTTCATTTCTCACTTACGTAATTTTATTTTATTAAATAAATATTAAATTATTTTTTTTTCCTCTCTCTCCCTTTTTAAGATAAACGACTTTATCAAGGTTAATATGGCAAGGTTAGAGGGAAATTGTTCATCTCCATTTGCGGAAATCAGCAGGCTGACAAATTATCAATACAGCGCTAGTCGTTTATACCACCAGTGAGTAATAATGAAATCAAAATGATATCTAAAGGATTTGCGTACCTATAAATTTGTTCTAAAAATGGAATTTTTTTTTTTTACTTTTTTTTCAATACAAATATCATTTAGCTGGCATCATAATCTTAATTGGAGACGTATGTAAAACCTCTTTTTTTTTCTTGAGTTTTAAAAAATCAAAAAATTGAAAACTAATTTTCTCATTATTTTAATCCTGATTAGTTTGTCATGATCCTTTAACCCAGGAGGAAAAAGATTACATTAATGACTGGGTACGTCGATTACCTAATGGTTCGATTCGGTGGTCCGTCTTACAGAAAGACATGGAGCAGATGTTTTTAAGATTGCACAATACCAATAAAATCAAGAATTATTGGAGATCCAACCAAAATCGTATTTCACGAACCGCCACCACAACAGCTGTAATGACAAATCCCGTTCCTTCCCTACCTTCCTCACATGTCTCGATACCAGTTTCTTTTCTTGTGAATGATAATAGCACGACTTCCCCTTCTCCAACGGTACTTTCTCCTATTCCGCAAACTTCACGATCCTCCGTGTCATTTACCATGGAGCCCAATTTCACCCCCGAACCTCAATTTAATGTGCCGCATGGAATGAGACCGTTCTTCTGAACGGAAAAAAAAAAAGTTCATTTTTTTCTTTCTTTTTTCCTTTTCCTTCTTTTTTTAATTACTTTCTTTTTTTTCTTTATTGTTTATTTGTACCTTTTGTTACTTTGTGACAAGGAACGCTGGTCCGTTTGTCATAGAAAAAAATAAATAAATAAACATAATTCGGTAAATTAATTGTTTTTCATAACGGTAACGTGTATATCTACGTGATTTACGCGACGCCGGAGCTTGAATCTATTAATTATCTAATTTATCTCGTATTTATCGTTGAAAATCCCTAATAATATTGTTTTTACCAAAAAAAAAACCGCAGCAACCTCAAGTATCATGTGATACAAAGTACAGATCCAAAAACAATGTGACAATGTGATTTTCAATTTACAAATAATATTATGATAATATTATGACGGACTATAAATTTTGGTATCGGATGCTTCCAAATAAACAAATTCGGTAACGATTTATTCGTGCTAATAGGTGCGCGTAATTTATGATGATCAACACACACACAGACGTTTTTTAAAATACAAGAACGATTTTTTGAATTTCATCAATCCATCTCAGGATGATGAATTTTCGAATGAAAAAAAAATATATTATACATAAGGAACTCAGCCTTATTTAAAAAGAAAATGTCTCTAGGTGGGGGTTCTGTCACTATGGATTTGAACTCTTTTAAATTATGCTAAGATTCATCGGCCAAAGTTTCGAAAAATGAGACAAGATAACTTACAAATGATTTCCTCATAGTCTATAACCAACTTTGTGGCAAAAGAATAAACTCTTTACGACTTAGAAACAGGAATGAAAAAACTTTGATAAAGTGGTTGGAAACAAACCTTACATTTCTATGTAACTTGAAATTAGGAAACGAAATCAAAACTCATACTCACAAAAATAACATGCAGGGAAAATAAAAATTCAAAAAAAAAGGAATTTTGAAAATTATTTTTTTTTTTT